TTAGTGCGGTCTGGAATTGAATTGAACAATTTAATTGCATTATATGTGAAACTTCTTTGATACATGGCGGTCGAATGATGGGGCATCATTAATGCATTGGGATGTATGCTGTATGCTGAATGTATGCTGGATCTCGGAATTAACTGGTAGCGACTATCACCTGATTGACTCCTAAAAAGCTTATAGATGAATGAAGCTAAGTGAAGTCTCCAACGATTTTCCATAGTGAGCCAGTTAAGTTCATTTAGTTTTTGAGATATGTGATCATATTTACGTAACCCATATATGAACCGCACACAATAATTCTGTACCTTTTGAATTGTAGGTAAAACTGCATTTAGCATACGATGGGTTTTTTTCGAAAAATTTTTTTGGTACTTACGTATTTTTGTCTGAAAAACACGAATTTGATAATGAAAATGTGAACAAACCATTATTTATCAAGATATTTCACTATTAAGTTACAAATTTCACCTTCTTTTCGGCCTGTCTTCTGGATTGAATTCAAAACAATTTTTACCCTTCTTTTTTCATCATTGGACAATTTATATATATCACAATGTGAGACACATTTTTTTCTATTATTGAGTCAACTAGAAATATGATTTTCTTGTGATTTATCCATATTTATTGAGAAGAAGGAAGAATATCAATTGAAATAATGGCGTGTGTAATGTCATTCCAAAGCAATCTATTGACATTTGACATCTCGTATTTGGATTGCCTATGGATAAAATGGCCGTCATCTGGTATGCTTGCTCACTAAATAGGAAAAACTCACCATAAAAATCATATTTCCTGTTGAATTTTCTGTATAAAAATGTGTCATTGAAGTACATCATGAGTATATAAAGTGTCCAATGACAAAATAAGAAGAGCAAGTACCTGAAAATACATCCAACGCAAGGGGAAGGAGTCGAAATTTCGAACTTTTTTTGAAATATCTTGATAAATAGTGGTTTTTTCACATTTTCGGTATCAAATTCGTGTTTTTCAGACAAAAATACGTAAGTACCAAAAAAAATTTTCGGAAAAAAAACCCATTGCATGCTAAATGCAGTTTTACCGAATTGTATACCTATAACTTCCATCAAGGCATGGACCATACAAAAAATCACAATAAACGAATTGGGACATGACCAAGCTGTCACATAAAGTTTTGCGCAGTTTCAAATTCAACACGTTCCTATTGCTGTATAGAGTTTTTAGGGAAATAAATGTTTTAGTCAGAATGTGCTTAACGTGATTTTTAAATCTGAGGTCATCATCGAATACCAAACCTAAATTTTTTGACGAGTGGACAATACTTAACGGCTTATTATCAATACTTATGTTCAAATTCGAGTAGATCTTATCATAATAATTTTTGGGAGAAAAAACAATAACTGATTTAGAAGAGTTCAATTTCAGATTATGACCCGACTTTTCTCAAATAACATGTCAAGGTCATAATTCAACCAATTTTGGGCCTCCAAAATATTATCTTTAGGAAAATTTATGAAGATTTGGGTGTCATCGGCATACGCCTGAATTTTACAATGTTCTATAGATTTCAGTACATCCGATCGTCGCATAAATATTATTCAGTATGGATGTTCGGCTCATATTCTTCATTTGCTAGCTTGCGATATACAGATTCCAGGACTAATGGAGCATATAATTAAGGTTATAAAATATTCAAGAACTACAAATCTTCCAGCAGCCTGGTATAAGGCAGCCAATGGAAATCGATTAGTTATTCCACAAGAAGTACGTTGGAACACTGCAACTGATGCAATAGAATAATGCTACCTGGAAAACCGGGGTATGTTAGTTCAGGTCTGTCAAGATAACAAAGAATCGGTTGACAGTAATAATTATAGAATTGTCAATGAAATAAAAATCACAAACAACGCAAGATATCTCTTGCTTCGAATGAAACCTATTGCAGATGCGCTGGATAGAATGCAACGAGATGGTTCGACAATAGCAGTGGCAGTTGAAATATGGAGGAAGTTAGGTGAGGATCTTAAGGGACAGCCTGAAAATGATTTGAAACAGTTTGAGAAGCGAATGGAAATGGCTTTGACAGCAGCACATTATTTAGACCATTTATTGGATAACAGATTTCGAGGACATCGAAGAAGTAATGCAGAAAAGCAATTAGCATTTGAATATTTACAGAACATCAATGAAGAGTTTATTCCTATAGTAATGGCTTTAATTACGTGCTCAAGGCATTTTCCTTCCTATATGTTTGGAAACAACTTTAAAACGACACCTCCAATGACATGGTGGAAGTCTGTAAGTTTGATTGAGCCAGAAAAGTATTTTGACTAGGCCAAGCTCCAAAGAGTATTTCTAGATAGGTGCAGCAAGCATTTGACTTTTGGATTTGGACAAATCATTTGTTCATAGCAAACTAAGGAATAAGCTGGGGAATGAAAAAGCTGCCAAACTAACGTTTTTGTTTAGGCACTTTAACCAGAATACTAAAGATGAAGCTGTCTATCTGGACTTTGTCTGGGAAGCAGAGACAACAAAAGCATCTGAATCTGATGCAACCCTTAGTATGGTATCTGCTGTTTCAGATACAAATTCTGAAGCGTGCCACTGGCAGCACTGGCGACATTATTACATTAATCTAAAGTTCTGGTATTTTTAGTTTTACCACTTAGTTTAGAAGAAATGTATTTGTTTTTTTCCCAAGTTCTTGTATTTTTATTTTTTATATCCATACGAATTTAGTGTATTTAGTATTTTTTTAAAACGAGGACATTTGCATTTATTTGCTTCATTAAAATGTGTTTTTATTTTTGATATTATATTGAACAGTTAATTTTTAAACTAAATGTGTTTTTATTTAGAGTCTGAAAATATCAAAAAAGTTGATATATCCATTTTATTGATATATATCCGAGATATATCGTTAATATCCGATGTTTCGATATTTTCAATAAATATCATTTTTACGAACCCTGAAAGATTGGGTGTCGATTATGAAGAAAATGCAGCTGAATCTGTAGAGATTGCAGCTCTGATTATTCGAAAGTTGGAAATATGTATAATTGATACTTTTGAACAAGTCGTCTATATGCACTTTTCCAGAATTGCCCACATCCTTATACAGCAGGAGGCAAAATCCTCTGTTTCCCTGTGATTTTATTCGTTAGTGTAAATACCAACTTACCGTCTAAAAGGCACTAATGGGATTCCAATGACGTCATGAAAAATTTTACTGTATATCAGGCCATGCGTAGGGATAGATTTCTACAAATCAACCGTTTCTTACATTGTGCCGATAATATCCAAATCCACAATTACAGGGCTTGAAAAATACGCCCACTTATGGAGATGTAGAAAAAATGTTGTATTGAAAATTTCGTACCTGAGAAACATCTGGCTTATGATGGAAGCATTATAAAATACTTTGGCAGGCAACTTTGGCGACAATGTATTCCGATTCGGATACAAGATGTGGTGTCTTAATTCCAAAGATGATAATTCAGTAAATTTCGAGCTCTACCAGAGCAAAGGTCCAAAATCGAATACTCAGTACGAAAGAATATTTGGAAAGGCTGCTAGCCCGCTTCAAGATTTGAGATACACATTTCATATGGATAACTAACTCAGTGGAGCAGCATTATTATCATTCTTGACATTTTGTCGTTATTCTGCAATAGGCACTATACGAGAAAATCGAATACCCAAACAATGCCCACTGAGTTCGCAGCAGATATTTAAAAAAAAATCGCGGATATTTCGAGACAAGTCTGCAAAAAAATGATGGACTAACTGTTATGTGTGATGGATGGATAACGCAGTAGTGACCATGGTTTCGTCTTCATGTGGCACGCAAGAAATTAGCCAAATGGATCAAAATTTGAGTTGCTATCGTATTGCGATACGTGGTAAAAAATGGTACTGGCCTATATGGACATGGATGTTCGACGTAGCCCTCCAGAATAGCTGGATATTATATAACAAAACTAGTAGGCCTAGAATATCACAACTCGATTTCAGAAGAGAGGTAGCTAATGTTTATTTGAAGATAAAGGAGCTGGGAGACCTTCAGTTTCACAAGGAGCAACAGATAGTCGCATATCAGATACTATTGGATTTGATCTATCTGATCATTTGGTCAAATCTATTGAAAAAAAGATGATGTGTGTCCGCAAGACGTGTAAACCAACTCCAAAGACGATTTGTACAAAATTTAATGTGGGACTATGTGTGAATTGTTTTGTTCCTTTTCATTCTCAATATGTAGTTTGTTCATTTGATTTATTCTGTTGGTAATAAAGAACTATTTTTAATATCGGTTGTCTTCTTCCTATTGTTATCTGGGCTGAATAATTACTGCTATAATTAATATTCTACTCAAACTACTTTCAATCAAATACCAGGTGTTATATGCGCCTATGGCTATGAGGGCTCAGCAAATATCTCATCTGTGAGTTTCACGAAAAATAATAGCTCATTATAAATTGTTGCTTAGATACCATACATCAATGATTTGCAAAAAAAATGAATGTCACCAAAAAAAATTCCGGTGCTAATGGGTTAATGTAGTTGTTGATGTTAATAGCAATGTTAATAAATTGTGTACCTTATATACCTCACTGTATAGACAATTTTTCTACATTATGAAAATAAAATGTTCTTTCCTCTTTCAAGTTCTTGATTATAAACTCGGCCCAGAATGTGAATTTTGCAAGATAGTTTTAAAATAGTCCTCCCCGGTAGGACTCTCACTACATTTCCAGCCTAGGTGACAACAGATCCTAAATACAGCCCCGAAAAAATATGCACAATGACTCAATAGTAGTAAACATTATGTCATAGGTAATGAAAATACAAAATTTCCCCGAAATACACAATTTCTTCGTATAACATGAATAATAAACAAATATAAAAAAAAATAGGTACCTCTATTAAAAATGACGTCACTTTATTGGCTATCACAGTATTTGTATGAAGTATAAAGTATTGTAGAATTCTTCAACAGATTGGGATACGAGAATAATGAATAAGTAACTGATTTCAAACTCTGTCTTATGAAATAATATCGTCGAGGCCATTTTTGTCTCGATTATTATGGATACTCATGTGAAGTTTCAATGGTGATATATCTATAAATCTCATGAATTTCGTATTGAATCCGCTTCTTTCAGTACCCGATTCAATCTCTTTCCTATGAGTTTAGGATATGTATTCGTTTTTATCCTAAATTCTTTACTTTGATGAGAGACTGCTCCTTTTTGTAACTGGAACTCACACATTGCCCTTAGTGGTTTCAATAAATCTTGATATATTGCATTGTTCTCTAAATGAGACAATGTTACTGCAGCAGTTTCTATTGTGCTCAGACATCCGTCTGTAGGTTGGGTTCTGATAATATAGCTACTCGTATCCGTATTCATTAGCTTGATCTGCTTTATACCATGCAAAATTGGGCTACCCGCATAAATTGCTTTCGCCTGTGGCCACGTACCATCAATCAATATTATGTTGAAAGAAGAACAACTACGACTATTCATAACTTCTTGAATATCCACAGCTGAACGGCTTGGATACAGTAGCAAAGAATTTGAGGCACTAAGAATTTCAATCAGATCGCTATGGCGACCAGGGAAATGTTTTCCTTTGAAAACTAAGCATTTCTCTTTTGCTAGGCCTAGTTGTAACATCAGGGCAGTCCTAAGGCACCTCTTTTCTTCAGCCGGATGTTGCAGGATGATAATTCTACTGCTAGGACACAACGGAGGGTTTGGTAAAGATTGGCAGTAGCAAACTGTTGATGGTCGTCTGTAATGAAACAATTCAATATCATTATTTTCAATCGTCATTTTTGAATTCAGGAAGCACATATTAGATTAATCCTGATTTTATATTGGGCCAATATCAATATACTGAAAAAGAAAACAATATTGCTTCAATAAAAGTGTATACTGGAAGGCAAAACAATATTGTATATTCAAGATCTATATCATATCGATTGAATATATTATCAACAATATTCTAACATAATAAGCTACAGGCTCATTCACAGTGGGTGAACCAGACAACAGATCACTTTGAAAATGTAATGGAGATATTCTGACATTCTATACTAAGATATTGTCCCTCATCAGAAAGAAGTAGCAACTTTCATTTTTCGAAAGGAAGACCCTATATTTTGATACTATTTTTGAGAATCCCCAACTAACTTTCGAACAGCTTTTCTTGATATTTCCCTATCTAAGAGATGGACCGTTCAAGCCGTAGGGACGAGTTGGTGTAATGAAGCCACTATCATGAGGTTTAGAGATGTGGAGCTCGAGTCGAGCCGAAAATCAGTGGTCCGATTTGGGACAAAAAAATGCCTCGTGGAGCCGACAGATCTAAATCGGGAAATGGCGCTACTCCATGATTTGCATATGGAAAAATGAATGAAAAGACTTACCTTCCACGGAGGAGCGGCTTCCAACAAAGAAACAACACTAAAACGCTGATTTGCCTTTTGGCATGGCCAAAACGAAAATGTTCTCTCGTAGCACATGATGGAGGAAACACCCTTCCACAATTTTCTAGAAGACCCGAAAACACAACGAAATCCTGGCTAAGCCTATTTAGAAAAAACTCTTTCTATGGCCCACTCTGCACACTGCGCACCATGCTGCTAGAAATACTAAAGCACGTGATTACAAACTAGCCCTTGTTTGGAATTTGACCAATTGAAATAAAAATTTCGCCTCACGTGATATTGAATGACAATTGACAAAAAACCATGACATTCACTGATAATTCAGGTCGACCTGCCTTCCGGCATGGCGACTACTAATTTTGAAGATGTATGTACCGAATCAGACGTTATAAAGAGGAGAAGAATGCCTAACGTGACGTATAACATCGACTTGGTACTGTTTCATCAATATCGATATTATACCAATAGTGAATAATGTTCCCTTCTTTGCGAGCAAATATTGTCTCTATAATTTTTTACCAAAATTGGTCAGAATATATCTGAACTATGTTATTACGACGATATGGTACATTGTTTCTCAATATTCTACCAATATTGTTGAGTAATATTGCACCAATATCGCAGAATATAGCATTTAAAATACTTGGTGACATTTAGAAAACTTTCCACCCTCAATATCTCCCTTTCAGTAAATGACATGAGAAATCGAAAAAGCACTTCGATTTCATTTCAAAGAGGGCACTTGAAGTTATTAGTAGGAGGGGTAGATATTACCCTTAGAATATTAAATGGGAAGAGGGGCAAATGACACGAGGGGTCAAATGGCATATCATTTTGAAGGACGTTCAATTCTCTTTCCAACAACTTATGTCTTATGATTTTAGAACTATATCGGAAGCCGGGGAGAACAAACGGCCAACATTTAACAGCAATTGGATTACCAATAAAAAGGCATTCACTTCAAGAACAAAATCAAAAAATTAGAAAGAAGAAGTAGGGTAGGGAAAGCTCCCAAAATTATTATTTTATTAAAAGTGGGTATTTCTAAGAAAACTAATACTTTTAAGATGACTACAATTGATAATAAAATGAATGTGAAAAGAATTCTGAGTCAATTATTGAAATATTGAATTGAGTAAGTAACCGTGTTTGGCACCGAGGACTGCTCCACAAACTAGCATCAGATGTGGTGGTGGACGGAGTATCGTATGAATTTTGGCACCAACATTGTTCCTACTTCATATCAACGATCTATTAGGAGCAACCACTTGCCCTATTCACAGCTTTGCAGACGATATACCAGGGGTCTTCAACCCGTGGTGGATTTCTTGGCGGCCCTAGTGACCTGGCTATCCGTACTGTACCCTGTACCTACTCAAGGACGCTAGTAAGTAAGCTAATATCTTTGGGGCATTCGTCGAGTCGCACAGACCATTAGTTTATCTATGGCGCAGACGTAGCTTACTTGCCACGACGGTCGCATCACGCTTTCTCGCCTCGTTCATGCGTTTGCTCATTTTTCGATCAGTACGTTTATGAGAGTTGAATAGAAAACATTGCAACTTGAGTACGATTTCGAATTCGACGGAGTATGATGGCAACCACTACTAGTAGAAAGTAGTGGCTGACGAGCATAGTTATTCAATGATAAGTCGACGAACTCATATTTGTTTGTGCGTGAAGGAGAAAAACCAATTTGCCTCGTATGCAATGAATCAGTGTTGAAAGAATACAATATCAAACGACATTATGATACCAAAAATTCAAGTAAGTTTGTGGATCTTCAAGGGTAATTACGCATTCATAAAGTGGAGGCTCTGAAAAACAACCTCAACAACAGCAGTTTTCTTTTCACAAATAGAATGAAGACTGGAGCAAGTGCAGGGGCAGATTATAGTAAAAGCCCGCAAAGCCAGGGCTTGTAGCGCCAATTCCCAGAGGGCGAACAAAAATTCCAAATACTTAAAAAAATTAATTACTTAGATCAGAAATCAAATTATATATTTCCATATGTGGGTACTTTGTACCATGGTATAAACTATAACTATAAAATATATTTTTGAAATAGCACTGATTGCGAAAAATTTTCCGAAGTAGTAACTCTGTAACAGCCTCCGTAGTTCTCCTAAAAGTCAATACGCATGGATGGCAACATTGTCAACGCTACGCGGTATCAGCTGCATGTTTAGTTCGAGACATCACTTCGGAGAATACCAGGACGCTGAAATATTGCCTATTTGCACGTCGCGCTGTTATATATTTGCAGAAATCAATTATATCATTGTGTTAGATTTGCTGTGATAATATGTTGTTTTTTTCGTGTTTTGTCATGAGTGGCTTAAATAAAAAATTAAGTGGCGCTGAATATCGAAAAGAAAAAGTGCCAAAATTGGATAGTTTTTTTTTATTGCTTCGACACCCTCGACTTCAAATTCAAATGATTCAACTGAGACTGAGAACTGTTTCGTTAGGATTAATTTATATATATCATCCTGTACATTTATTCGAAATAAGTTGAGGTACCATTGAATCTTGAGGAAGTTTTTGTTTTATTATTGTTTGACAGACTTGTCAGGAAATTGTGCTAGGGAAATAAATGATGAATTTTGGAGAATAAAGAATTCAACCAGAACTAGCATTCGACTCATTTATCCATAATACTACATGGTGACAGCGGTGGGATACGAACCCACGCCCTTTCGGACTAAGGCAAGAAAGTTGGGTGAATAAGGTGAGGTAAGACTATTGGGATTTTTCACAAAACATTCTTAGTATATTATAGGAGAATTTCAAATATTTCTGTTTTGGTTTTAGGAGACTTTAGGTGCAGATACAGCTGATAAAAGTGATGAAACGAATGTTAGCGAATCTCTGGTAACCAGTGACAATATCGTACGCGATGTTACTCCCGCGTCTCAAGGAAATAAGGTTAAATTATTGTATAATATAGATGTGATCTTATTATTGGCAGACAAACTGTTTTTTTAGGATTTGAATGATCATGCTAACTGGAATATTGATGAAGACCTACGAGATGCTAGTACAAGTAAGGAAGTGTCTGGAAACTCTGAGTTGATACCAGAATCTGACGAAGTGGAACAACCAGGATTCGACGACCATCATCATATAGTGATTGGTGAATTTGTGGTGGTGATGGTTCCTTGTGAGAATGAAAACAAATCCCGCTTTTTTGTTGCTCTCATAGACCAAGTGGTTGATCCTGAAGAAGGTTTGTTTATGGTGAAGTTTTTGAGAAAGAAAAATCTGAAGACCATTCATTTTATTTTCCCTGATATTGCTGATGAAGGACTCATTTTAAAAATGGATATCTTCAGAAAACTGGCTTTGAAGGAAGTGAGAAGGGGAAGACACATTTTTGAAAATATGCCCAGTGACATCAAGATTGACTGAGAGGTGTTGTTGTTTGAAAAACTTGTATTTTTGTGTTCCTATTTTTTTGAAGAAAAGTTTATTCAAGTTTCTATTGAATTGTTATATTGATTTCTTACGATTTGGACAAAATAATGGTTTCATTTATAAAAATCCAAGTTAAGGATTCTAAAAATATGTGTTTCGATACCCTCCCCTCCCTAAAAATGTTTTTTGACGACCCTGTTTTTATTGTTTTGAAGTTATACTGTCCGAACCCACCTCAACTAGTCGCTGAGTTCGAATTTACGCCTAAATCAAGGCGAGTCCGAACTCACCACATACGTAGGGGTGGGTTCGGACACATTTTGAAAATAAAAAATAAAATAAAATAAAAGATCTGAAAAACGATCATGGCATTTGATAGGTGAAGGTTGAAGGGTCTTATATTAATTTTAACGGATTTTTTGAACGACTCTTCTTGGCAGTTGTAACAATGAATTTTAGTGTGATTTCAGTCATCATTATAGCTTCTCAGAATTTGCTATTATAATATTTTTCCTAATTTTCTCACCAGGCATTTGAAACTACAGTTCTTATCAATCAAGTAGTTGGAAAAGCTCACGAAACCTCATTTGATATCTTGGAAATATAATTCTTGAAACTTATTTTATGCACATAAGATCTTTCTCAGAAAAGTGCCTATTATAGATTTTATAATGGAAATAATTATAGATCATTATTTCTGTCCATATGGAAATGCATTTCGTTATTTTATTCATGTGTACAATTGTTAGTACGAAACATAACATCGCCTAACTCAACTTTCGAACCAAAATTCCTATGTTTATATCTTTGTAAGGTGTCTAACAAAATCTCGAAGTGAAGTGGAAAATAAAAGCCTATTGGGAAAATAAACTCACTCTAATTATTTGGTCTACCACAAATTCAAAATACCTCTGTGTAATTCTGGGACCTCTTCCAGAAGCCTTTTTTCCACAAAAAAATGTAAGATTACAACAAAAGGCAAAGAATATTTAAAAAGTGAGTAGAAATCATAATTTTTCACTTCATGAATTTATAGTAATTTCATATGTCATAAGAAGTCGTAATCTACATTATCATCATTTGAAACTGATGTTTACTGAAATTTTGAGGTAAAAAGTCAGTGGCGGATTAATGAGTACTTCTTTGGGTGAAATTCCAGTTGTCGGACAAGTGTTCCACTACTGGCAAGAAAGAACACGGTTCGTTTGTTTTTTTTTGCTTATTGATATGGCCTATTCAACATTTCTTTCTTGCATCACAAAATATGATACTTGTTTGAAACTCTTACCAGTGGTCGGACAACGAAATTAAATTCCATATATAGTTTATGACCTATTAAAATCTGTCCGACTACTGGGCATTATGAATTTAGTTGTAGTTCCAATAGTCGAATACAGGTTTTTTTTTTCATTCCATAATTATAATATAATAATAATGATAAACTTTATTTTCCTTTTGATAGTTACAAAAACCATATAGTCAAGAGAACAAAACATCAAAATATTTTTGCATCCTTGAGTTAAACAATCTTTAAGGTAATTGTAACATGATAATGTCAAAAACTAATTGAGTTGGCTTTTGCAACAGTTAATCTTCACGATATTCTTCAAATTATTGGGTAGTCTATTGAAAAGCTTTAGTGCTAAAAAAATTGGTGAATTCTCTCTAACTTTGAGTTTTGCAACGGGTACATATATAATAATTATTTGTCTGCCTAGTATGATGATTATGAAGGTCACTATTCATTATTAGCTTCTCCTAATTCCTAAAAACAAACATAAACAAGTCAAATATATAAATACCAGTGACAGTTAGAATTTTGCATTCCTTCAAAATCGGTCTACAAGAAGTTCTCCAGTGCACATTAAACAACATACTCAATTGTGCAACCAACACGTCGGTCACTGCTACTGAATTACCCCACAAACAAACTGCATATCTCAGTCGAGAGTCTACTTGAGCAAAGTAAAACAGGTTACTCACTGATAAGTTTATTGAATCATCGATTCTATAATCCGATAAAGCAACAAGAATTATCAATCCATTTCCTGATACCTTTGTTACCTACGAATACACGTCACTGTAGCATGCATATAACAATTATTTCCCAAAGTTACATCATAATTTCAAATAACATTTTTCAAATTCAATGAATAATTTCCTTTTTCAGTCCTTCGAATAGCAAGGAATAGGAAGATGGTATTGACAACGTGAATATTGAGCCGGTCACATCTAGCCACTTGATGAGAAAAGAAGGTGAATATAAAATTGATGAATTTTATTGGCTTTTCTATTGGCGAAATAGTACTTCAACAATTTAACCAAATACAAAATATATCCAAAATACCACATCAATATTCAGTAAAGCCTAACTGAGTTACCATCCTCAGTAGAACTGAAAATGAAATAAAGATTAGCTGACTGTTAGGTAACACTGGTAATTTCTGGAGAATGTCTGGAAAGATACTTTAGAGTCAGTTAATCTTTTTTTCTTTTCCAGTCCTACTTAGGATGACAACTGAGTTGCTGAAATATGTATTTAGGTTTTACTAAAGTTTCGAGTATAATTTGTATTCTGAATATTCAACCACAGTCTCCAAAACATCACTTCAACTAATTTGTTTTAATAGTTTCATTTCACGATAGATGATTCAAGTTATGTCCTCAATGATGATAAAACATTTTTTCAGGAGTATAAAAACTGAAGGATACAGGATAGTGAATTTCCAAAAGTTAATGGATAGATTGAAAGAAATTTTGAATCAGTAGCACACACAGAAAAGAATTTATATCCAAATTCACTTTCAAATGTGATATGTGTGGACTCATTGAGCATGTCTCTACTTGTCCTGAGGAACCGTCTGAATTGGAAATAATCACTTCAGCTGTGGCCGGTATTATGAACACTGGAGGTGGGTATACCCAATTGAAAAGCTTGACTGCTTAGACTGCTGCACTGGAAATTCCTTCCTTTAGTTTCAAATTCTATAAAAAAATGCACGCTGAAGTGTGTGAAGCTTGGGAGAAAAGAGCATGGCAAACTATGTGGGAGGCAGCTGCAGAAGAAAGTGAAATGGCTATTGGCTATGGAAGTGTTCATAAAAATGGAACACCGACGATAACAGTAGTATGTGATGGTAGCTGGGCAAATCGATCCTATCGGGGAGGAGGCAATTACAATTCTTTATCTGGTGTTGCTGCAATTGTGGGCCTGAAAACTGTGAAAAAAATTATATTTGGGAGTGAAGAACAAATATTGTTGTGTGCCAGAGGGGTTCGAATAAAGGTGAAGCAGTACCTGCTCATACTTGCTATTAAAATTGGAACAGTACGTCTACTAGCATGGAATCAGCTATAATATCTGAAGAATTTCACCAAAGCTTACAAATGTACAATCTGATCTATAATAAAATGATTGGTGATGGGGATAGTAGCTGCTACAAACAGATTCTTGATAGTAAACCAAACAACACTTGTACAGTCCAGAAAATTGAGTGCAGAAAATAATATAAAGAATAGATTCAAAGTCTGCGAATTGTATCCATTCAACCCCTGATACCGTAAAACTATGAGAAGTGTGGTCAAAATGTTTTGGAAGAAATATCCAATAAGGCGAACATAGTTCAGGATGAAATAACAATAGCTAATATTGAGGACACTACAATTTGAGGCCTAGGCTGTCTGAACGTGGAAATTAGTCAAGATAATGAGGTCTCTTTGTTCACTGAACAAGAAATACACAACATAGATATAGTATTTGCCGATGAAAAAGAAGTAGAAGGACCCAAAAGAATGATTTGAGATAATTTACTTCTGAATCCAGGTCCAAAACAAAAATCTAATGAAAATTCCATGAAACTTCTATTTTAAATGGAGATGATGAAATACCAGTTGAAGAAAACCATGTAATAAATTTTATGATATTATATTATACCTAAGTGCACGGCCTGCGAGCCATCAGACACGATAGTTCAATATAACATTTAACATTATCATTATCTTATGTAACATGTACTGATAGAAGCAGATACACAATATTATTATTAAAGTCTCATTACTAATTATTGTAGTATAATTACTAATACAACATGGCGCTGCTAGTAATCTACAGGTATGTTTGTAATATGTTGGTTATTAGTGCATAATCAACTGAAAATCCAGCATAACCTCAAAATTGAATATCCTCGTGGATATCCTCATTTAAGAAACAAAATGGATAGTTTCAAATCCTCCGGCACATTGAAGCTGAGTGCGGGTAACATATCGGAAAATTGGCGAACATTTAAACAAGCATTTGAAATTTACATGCTAGCAACCGAGAAAAATGTGGAACCAGAAGAGGTGCAAGTGGCAATATTCCTAAATTTTGCAGGAGAAGAGGCCATAGAAGTTTTCAACAGGCTAATTATAAGTGAAGCAAACAGAAAGAAAATTAAATCCGTGCTAGAGGCTTTTGATAGCTATTGTAACCCAAGGAAGAATGTTGTCTATGAGCGGTTCATATTTCATTAGAGGAAGCAGAAGGAAGCAGAACCATTTGAACTCTTCTACACAGAGATCAAGAAATTGGCAAAATCTTGTGAATTTTCCGGTCTAGCAGATAGAATGCTAAGAGATCGGATTGTCATAGGAACAAATGACATATCTCTTCAAGAAAGACTCTTAGGACTTCGAGAAAGCAGTAAATATGTGCAAAGCTGCAGAACTGTCAAAAAATCAGAAATCTTTACGAGAAAGTGAAGCAGAAGTAAATGCAGTAAAAGGAAAATATGTACCACAAAGGACTGATAGAACCAGAGATAGTAGGAGTAGTGGAAGACAGAAAACTAATGAGTTCAACTGTAGAAGGTGCAAGAATTAGCATGGTGCAAGAGATTGCCCTGCCATTGGGAAGAAATGTTCAAGATGTGGAAAATTCAAACACTTCTCTATAGCTTGTAAGGTCAGAATTGTGAGAGAGTTGAATGTGGACCCTGGGCAAAACAGTGATAGTGAAGATGAGGGTCAGGCATTTGAAATTCATGCAATCACTGTTAAAACTGTAAGTAGTTTGAACACTTGGTATGATAATGTATTCAAAAATGATTGTGACAATGTCAAGTTTAAATAGGACACTGGGGCTGAAGTGAGCATTCTACCAGAGCATATTTATAATGATCTGAAAGGTACAAAACCTGAGCCAAAGCCCACAAAATTGATTTTGGAAGCATATGGAGGAGTTATCTTGAAACTTCGTGGAGTAGTAAGATTGACATGTCAAGTAAGAGAGGTTTCACTTTTTGATGAGTTTATCATAGTAGAAGGCGAGGTAACTCCTCTTCTCAGTGGTGCTCTATGTTCAAAATTAAAATTGATAAAACGGTTGAATGCTGTCAAAACTTATGAAAATGAAAGGAAGTTTGTAGAGATGAATTCTGATTTATTCTCAGGGTTAGGTTGCTTTAAGAGTGTAGAATAGAAATAGAGAAAAATTGTAGGCCAGTTGTTAATCCACCTAGAAGAGTCCCTATTGCTATTAGACCAAAGCTACGAGAAACACTAGAAAGCTTAGAAGAAAGAGGTATCATTAGTTATGTTGACAAACCTTCAGGGTGGATTCACAATCTGGTAATAAGAGAGAAGAAAGATAAATCATTGAGACTATGCTTGGATCCTAAATATTTTAATGCTGCCATCAGATACCCTAAAGATGTACTTATTCCTACATTAGAAGATGTGTCACAGGTTTTATCAAATAAGTAGTACTTCACTGTGCAAGACTTTAAAGAGGGGTTTTGGCAAATTAAACTGGAATCAGATTCAAGTAAATTATGTACGTTCTCAACCCCCTTTGGGTGTTATAAGTTCAATCGCTTGCCATATGGCTCCGGAGTATTTCCAGAGTATCAATTCCAAAAATTTTGCTGATATTCCCGGCATCATGATCTATATCGACATTTTAATAGTAGGTAGTACACCAGAAGAACATGAATGATATTTTAAGTCAAGTAATGAACAGGGCTCGAGAACTTGGGGTAAAATTCAACAAAGATAAAATTCAATTCAGAGTAAATAGCGTTAAATATCTAGGACACATCTTTTCTGGTGAGGGGATGAAAATTGATCTTGATACAGTCAAAGCTATCAAAGCTATTGAAAGTCCCACAAATAAAAATCAGTTACAGAGCATACTAGGGATGGTAAATTATTTAAGACCCTTTATTCCAAAACATGTCTGAAATAACTGCACCCTTCAGACAAATTCTTAAAATAGATGTAGAGTTTCATTGGCTACCAATACATTCCTCAACATTAGATGAGATGAAAAAGAAAATAATCACAGCACCAGTTCTTGCAAATTATGACTCCACAAAAGAATTAACCATTCAGGCAGATGCCTCTCAAAACGGGGTGGGTTGTTGTTTGCTACAAGCAGGCGAACCGATATATTTTGCCTCAAAAAGTCTTAATGAATGTCAAAAAAGCTTCGCACAGATTGAGAAAGAACTTTATAGTGTAATATTTGCCACCAGTGAATTCCACAAATTTATCTATGGTCGGAAAGTGACCATCATTACTGACCACAAACCGCTAATTGGCCTTTTGAAAAAGATAATTAGTGATGTAGCTTCATCACGGCTTCAGCGAATGATTGTAAAGCTCCTAGCTCATGACCTGAACATAAAATATTTGCCGGGAAAATTTATGTATATTGCAGACCTATTATCCAGAGCATACATAAAAGATGCTCATTGGGGTGGAGCGCTACTATAAGGCAAATTTTCATTTTTGCAACAGAGAGATGTAATAGTGAAAAAAATATGCTATGGTTGATTATAAACATCGCCTGGAAACCATTTTGCAAAAGAATTATATCTTCTGCTTTCTACAGATCTCCTACTTTTGCCCTTTGCCACTTTGTGTACTGCACTAGAACATACCACGTATGACCTTTATAGGAATCCCGTCAACTGAATTCAATCTGCTGGCAAGTGGTATCAGTCTGCTAACAGGTGCTTTCAGGTGAATAAATCAAGTCACACTCCTTGTTATCATCAGCAGTTCAGAATATTCAGACATTCATTGCCGAGACGAACTGATAACTATTTCGTCAAAGTGAAAACTTTTCAAGCATATTTCAAAACTCTAATATAAGTTCTTGTAAATGAACAATTCTAGAGGAATACATAGATGAAAACCCAAAGTCATCTCCACAACTTGTATTTAATGATCCTAGATCATATAAGGGAACATGTTTCGGGCTTATATAAGCCCATCATCAGCCAAGAAAATGTAAAGTTCTAGAAAAGACAGATTTTGACCTATGGTGTGATACAATAATATGTTACTTACATGGAAGTGAAAAATGTGTATAAAATAAGCAATAGTTCCTCCTCACTACAAAAAGTACCAGCTCAAGAAATTTTTTCTCGACAGATCAGAGCAAACAAGAACAGAACAGAAAAATGTTCATAGGCAATGTTGATAGAGAAGAAATGAGTAAATTGCATAAAAACTGCACAGAAGAGACAAGTCCATATGAAATGTTCTGACAATCTGCAAAAGGTGTTTGCAAGCAAAAAGTTCTCAAGTTCGACGATGTAAATGCAAATACTCCAACTGTTTCGAAAGAAGATCTGTGTGTAAGAAAAATGAACCAGGTTGCATGGAACTGAGAACATTCGCTCAGGTTCATGATCGATATGACTTGTCAGACAAATCCGCAGCTGTGATAGCATCAGATCTTCTGAAGGATGCTGGAATCATCACAGAGGTAGATAAAGTTAATATTGTAGATAAAAGTGGACTCAGGAGAGTAAGGAAAAGAAAAAGGCATTGTTTGCAAGAGAAAGTGTTGAGAAGTCAATAAGACCTATCTTCTTTGACGGTAGAGAAGATAAAACTTTGGCTCAAGAAAAAGGTATAGAGTGAGGTATAGAGCTATAACCTCTGGAGCAACTGGTAGTAATTTGCTGGATGAGGTCATTTCAGAATTGCGAACCGATCGATACTTGAAGTTGATTGATACTGCAAATTCATAACAGAACAAATGTTCAAGACCTAGCATTAAGACGCTTACTGAAGCTCAGAAGAGACCTGTGTCAAAACATTCGTTATTCCTGAGTAAACATCGAGCAAGAAATCAAATATAATAGACCTCATTGATTGGCAAGCTATTGAAATAAAAAACCTACCTATTCTGAAAGATCTGAAGGAATATACGATTTTGCAGCTTCTCAGAGTGTGATTGCCTCGGAAGCTCGAGATGGCCTCATTCAAGCCACTCTCGAATCAAGAGCTGCAATGCCAACCTTGAACACGAAAAATAATTCAATCCATGAGAATCTTGAGGTAGAAGGGTTTCCACCCCTATACAAA